ATGATAATAATCGTCGAAATGGAATAGATGATAAAAACACAACATGCAATTTACATAAAACCTCATAAAAAATTCATGTAATTTATTGTAAAGTTTTTTTTCTTTTTTTTTTCCTATAGTATATACCTAACAAAACTCTAAAAAATTGTGTGGTGTAAAATTTATGGGAAAAAGACGGCTATAGACATTTTTTGGGGGTTGATTTCAAAATTTAGTCACAAAAATCCAAAGTTCTAGCTATAGACATGCATTCCGCGGAGAACCCCTCTACGGGCTCCGCGGACAGACGAAATCTTTGCGGACTAATGAATTTTGTACGATATTGTACAGGCCAAAGATAATCCACAGAGCTACCTCGGCGGACACACTAAACCCTCCGCGGAGTGTTGGTTCTTTCGTTCATTAAAGCCTCTGCAGAGGTTTTGACCATCGAATATTGTTTGATTTGGTTAAATCTAAGGCTAGTACATTCAATAGTAATATATCATTGTCATTTCAACACCCGGTTCATGGTTATTTTATGAATATTTTAGACGAAGCAGATGTTCATCAACTCAGAAACGTAATGTCTGAATTGAAGTAGATTGTGCATTTGTATTTGGAGGTGTTTGAGGGATGGGTCGAACAGACAGAAGCGGTTGACAAGGTTGTATCAGACAATGTTGACACCATTGTATCTGATAATGCTGAAGAGTGTCCACAAGAATAAACTGTGGCAGTGAATACGGTGGAAGAAGAAAATTTATATGAGTTTGGAATACTGGGTGACAAAACTTTTTCAGACGATGAAGAATCAAATGAAGGCTAGTCAGAAGATGAGTTCACGCACGGCAAAAAAAAAAACTTCAGACATCTTTTACGGTATGCCTCCCGTACCTGATTGTCCTGATCTGATTCTTGAACCTGGACCATTTCACAGTTTAGGTCCAAATGATGATATGTTTGTTCTTCAAAAGTATGACAACAAACAACAACTAATATTTGCTTTGAGTTTTAAAGCAACTAGAGAAAAGTTTCGGTTGAAGACCAAACATTCTAACAAAAATCGTTACGAGGTATATTGTGAAATTGAGAACTATAGTTGGCGTTTAAATGCAAAACGCATTGATCCGAATGACGAATTTGAAATTAGGACTTTTAAAAACGTGCACACATGTTCGTCATTACAGATACACCCAAATCATAAGCACACAAATAAAAAAGTCATGGGTACTATATTGCAACAGATTATGGAAAAACTCGTTCGAAGGTTTGGAGGCCTAATGAAATATCAAGGGATTTGAATGTTTTGCTAGAAATAAATGTAAGTTACAAACAAGCTTGGCGTGCAAAACAATATGCTATGGAACTGTTGTTGGGATTCTATGAAGAATGTTTTTCCAAACTTTCTATTTATTTTCACAACTTGAAGAAGCATAGTCCCCGTATAGTGGCCTATATACAAACATATTCTGAAGATTGCTTCGAGTGTTTTTTTATGCCATTGGGAGCTTCGTAAATACAAAAAACTTGTTCTTTTTTAATATATAATAAGTTGTAAAAAATGTAGAGTGTTTATGTGTTCCATACAAATATATTGCAGATACAAGCGTTCAAACGTTTTTGTCGTAAATTCGTAATTATGGATGGTGCCCATTTGAAGGGGGATTTTAAGGGAACCATATTGCATGCAGTAGCTATGGATGGGAACAACCAGATAGTGCCTGTTGCGCACGGAATATGCAAAAACGAGAGTGGTCTAACTTGGACATGGTTTCTTGAAAAGCTGTATGAATGCATTGGTGATTGTCAAGATTTGACCTTTGTAACTGATAGGGCCGATGCAATTCGGGTTAGTATTGAAAATGTTTTCCCAAATGATCATCATGACGTGTATGCTTTTCATCTAGTAGGAAACATAGTACATCGGTTTGGGAAAAATGATAAAACAAAAGTCTTGTTTTGGAGGCTTGTGAGAGCTTACAAAACAAATGAATTTGAAGATTTGTGGTATAGATTTAGTTCTACTAGGCCGCAAGTAGCGGCGTACCTAAGTGAAATTCTACGTGATAAATGGACTAGAGAATATTCCCCTTCGAAACAGTACGATTAGATGACCTACAACAGTGCAGAGTCCATGAATGCTTTATATGTAGATGCAAGGAAGATGCCGATAATACCCCTTCTTGAGTTCTTCTGTCGTCTTTCATAGGAATGGTGTAACAGGAGTCACATCGATGGAGGTTTGAATTTAGTTTGGACTTTAATTAGGTCGAATAATAAGTTAGTTATATATATGTTCTTTACAGGGAAACGCTCAACAGTGCTAACGAAGTGGGCTGAAAAAGTAGTTAACAAAAATAAATAGCGTACGACAGGATGGTCCGTTTCAGGTGTTTCAGATGTAATATATCAAGTGCATAATTTCAAACATGGTGGCATAGGTGATATGAGGCAAGAGACTTGAACATGAAAATATTGTTAAGGAACTGGGTTGCCTTGTGGTCATGTCAGAATGGTCTTAAAGCACTTGAAAAAAACTAACTTTGGACATCTGGCTATAAACGCTTACAAAATGGAAACGTACTGACGTACGTATGAGGAGGCAGTTTACCCACTTACAGAACTGTGTGATTGGGAGCTTCCTAATGAGATGATGGTTGTTAAACCCCCGATAATGGATACACGTCAAGCTGGTAGACCGAAAAACAAAAATCGTATCCCGTTACAAGGTGAGGAACCTATAGTAAGAAGGTGTAGTAGATGTGATAGTTCAATACATAATACAACGACTTGTCCGACATTGGTCCCAATGAAACAAAAGAAGCCTACAAAAAGTAGCACGGTGTCAGGTAGTAAGACAATAGGGAAAGGGACGCAAGGGACTCACAAGACGCAAGAGACGCACGGGACGCAAAGAGAAGACTATTGTTCAACGTTTGATTTGAATGATTGATGTTGCATTTATAATTAATTTTGTTATGTTTTAGAAGAATTGATTATGTACTTTGATTACCCTATTAAGGAAATTAGCTTTTGTTATGAACATAACACAACTACGACTTACATAGAAAACACAATAAAAATACATACATATAACCTGAAAACATAATAAGCGTACAACATTTTTTTTACCAATTATTAACTTCCGGGAACTGCTTTGGATATTATTCTTTCTCCATTGTTATATAGTCATCCCCAATTCTCATTTTATCTTCAAAACGATCCTTTTGCAGACTAAGATCTAACATCTTTGTATCCTTCTCATCAACTCATTTTTTAGTCATTTTGATACTCTTCTTAGTCTTTTTGATCCATTCTTCATGCTCTTTGATTTCCTTTTTCTTCATATCTATCCATTGTTCGACATTTTTTCATTTTGATGCAATGAATTCATTACGTTCAGTGAGATCCTGGGATGACTGTTTATCTTATTTTTGTTGTTCTTCATCCCATTGCAATTCTTCATAGTTTCATCGGACATATATGACCCTTCCGAAGAGGCTGTAACAAAAGGTTCGATTGGATCATAGTAGTAACAATCAACTTCGTTGTAAGAGCAAACCTGAAAATTTGAAGATGAACTCATAATGAAGTTGAAAAGGGTATATTTTTTATATGAACTCATAATGTCAATATATACACCGTTTAACTCCGCAGAAGTAACTTGGCATATATGTCCGTGTAATTGACTTGTAACTCCGCATAACTGACTTGGAAGTCCGCGTAATCTATCTTGTCATTCCGCGTAACTGACTTGTCAGTCCCCATAAATGACTTGTCAGTCCGCATAACTGACTAGTCAGTCCGCGTAACTGACTTGACAGTCCGCATAAATGATTTGGCAGTCCGTGTAACCTATATTTTATATAATAAAGCATGTATCTATATGAAACTCCACAATTGCATTGTCTCTGTGTCCATCGGGGAGATCATTCCAATACTCAATCACATCTAGCTCTGAGATAATACTATCCCCAAAACTTTTGAACTCTCCACCAATCTTGTACTTTGAGAAGAAATTCATAAATCGTGTTGAATCATAAATGTTTACTTTCCACATATTTAAATGTAGCATTGCCAAAAACCAATGGACACCAACAACGTTTATGGGGAATAGAACTTGAAAAAAAAATTAATTAAATAGTAGTAAATTCGGTAATATTATATACATAAATAAACAAATATTAAACTAAACTAACTTTATCCACATCTTTCCATTTAGGATAGCCTCTAACACCATTTGCTACATTCCTAAAAAAATGATTTTCCGTTTTTCAAATTGAGTTCTTGAGGGTATATCGTCCACCTTGCGTTCACCGACCGTCTTTCCATGAGCAAGTCAGTCCATATTTCAATATGTTGTACATTTTAAGATAAAAATGTTACAATTATTTATATAAATTATCGTCTAAAAAAGTAGTTAAATTTAACGAATGTTACCGAAGAAATTAACTACCCAAAGTTAGTAACTACAAGTAACCTTGACAAAAACTCCACATCCAGTGAGAGTATATGCAGCCTGTGTGTATTGTTGAGGTTGGAAAAGATCATATTCTATTCTTTCCAAAAACCCAACGTACTAGCAGCATAAAGACTGTCTAACAATATATGATTTGAAACATCACTAATGTCTTCATTCACAATATCTTCATTTTCTTTTTCAGGACACTCCATTGCTTTTTTCCTTGGTTTGGTGATTTTCTTCAATTTTGGTGTGGAGTCCATCTGAAAAATTAAAATGTTAATTAATTATCAACAACGTAATATTTTATAAATACACCAAATTTAAAATAGATTAATACCACTGTGAACGACATCCGTTAATACCATGAAGCACCCCTCATTTGTTGCGGCCTAGGAATAGGAGTGACTTTTTGTGTGATGTTGAACAAGTCGGGTGACGGCTCAACATATTGCCCCGTAGGTGTAGGCCCAACTTCCCCCTCCAAACCATGTGTAAATGTATCATCATAATGCAACTTGTGTACCATGGTAATATGTTTATCCCTCCTCTTCATTTACCATGTCCTCCTCCTCACTAAACCATGTATTTGGTTTATCTTTTTCTGCAATACAATGTCTACTTTAGAAGTTAAGTCAGCCACAACGCCTATTAGACGCTTCACCAATGCCTTTATGCTCGTCTTCTTCTTCTTTACCGACCTTGATGATGTGTCGCTTGACATATAACTTTTTTCTACTTGAGGTTGTTGCGAGGTAGAAGCATTTGTGACCGTTTCAGTCGAAGATGTTTCCGACTTGTACTTCTTTCTTCGTGGAGGCGAGGCAACAATAGGTGGTGGACTTTGCTGCCATGGGGGAGATTCTTCATGTTTAAGAGTCCACTTCACATAGCGAATATAAAATGGTCCATGAGCTCCGTCTCATTTGCCACGACAACAACAAGATGGTTGTTAGGCTGCAAAAAATCAGATTGTTAGTTTAACATGAAAAACATTGGAATTTGTAATTATATATAATTATAATATAAAAAATTATACCACAGACACGTTGATATTTCGACGACATCGAACCCAAGATAATGGTGTTTTTCTTCTCCACGACCTCATTCATGGCAATTCTGTCGGCATGCAAACATAATACTGTGTTACCTCTGGGAACGTCTCCAAAATCAATATCTATGGAAAAAAATGGTAAATATGATGCTATTATAGTATAAAAATGAAAGTACAACGGTATTATATAGTACAAACAGAAGTACAATGCTATTATGGTATAAAAATGAAAGTATGATAACTATTTAAATACATTAGAAACTAACCCTAAACGGAAGCATAAAACCGACAACGATATACTTGTGTAATTTCTTCGATTCAGATTGGCCTGCTTGAATATTCTAAAATTTTCTATTTTCTAAAACATTCGACGCATCAAACTCGAGGTATAGGTCCAAAAATATGTACCCCATGCAAACCTGCAATTTTCAATTTATTTATTATAATTATTATTGTATTTATACACAATTTGTAAATGTAATACTTGTTCCAATCATATATATTATCAGCAAGCTTGTATACTGCCACGGGAATGCCCGTTTTAACATCCTGTCCGTGGAGACCTTTCAACATAAAAACAAGTTGGATAAGCATTACCGCATCTTCATCCTGAAGAACAAAATAATTCGGAGACATAATGTAATCTTCTAAATCTTTGAGCCGCAAACGTGCATCTGGAATGACTGGGAACAACCGAGTCTGAAGATTTGAATTTGACCGGTCTCTTTCGTCATGGAGTTAATCCACATAAGGACCAACTCTTAACCCACTAATCAAAATATATTCAGTTTCACCAAAATCCAATTGCATCCCATGTATCTCAAAAAGAAACCTCCCAATTTTAAACACTTCTTAAGACCTTACTTCATGCAACATCATCAAATGCACAAGTAAGGGGTCACCATTGGGGACATGCATTCCTAAAAATCTTCCAAACGGTGAAGCTTCAAATAATGCTCGTTCCGATTGTGCTAGCCGCGAAAAATAGTCTTTAATGATCGTACCGACAACGTCTTTTAAAGTTAAATCTACTTTTTGTTCGAGATCATCGTGCTATAAAACATATACATTTAATTTAATATAAAACCTTATTAATTGAAAATAAAAACAAGGTTTTAAAATTACATAGTTAATTCGGTTAAGGCAATAAATAGCAACGTACTTTCAATTTACATTATAAAATTAAAAAAATACCCAATTATACCATTCACATCAATTTACATAAAAAATTAAATAATAACGCACTGTAAAAATTAATTGCTAGAAATGGTTCATTTTGAAATTAATTAATATAAAATAACCGAAAAAAATGGAGAAAAATGACATTTTAACTCATTCCGCGGAGACCCCTATGCGGAGTGACCTATCCCCTCCGCGGAATGGATATTAGTCATTTCAAACCCATTTTAATCCATTTCGCGGAGAGTATACTTCACTCCGCGGAGTGACCTATCCCTCCGCGGCATAGATCTTCACTATTTCAAATTCATTTTAATCCTAAATCTAAATCTAAACATTTTGCAGGTTATGAATTGCATATTCATACAATTTTAATTTTAAATCTAAACAATATGAAAAAGGGAAACATTAATCTAAAGGGGGAAACGTAAAAATTACCCGGGAGCCGTATCCATCGGCGAAAATGTTGGGGAAATTCCGCTCCATCTGCTGTCGCTGGAAAATCGGGGTTGAAGTCGATATCGGAGGAAGAAACCAAGGCTGGCGACGGTTGCTATCAGATGAAGGGGAGTAGCTAGCGATGTAGAGACACGAAGAAGGGATTGAAGTCGAAGAGGAGAAAGGGGGACCAGTGGGTGGGGGGGACCAAAGAGGAGACCCGTTTTTACAAAGAGGGATGGGCGAAATTACGAAAATACTCAGATTCCGCGGAGATTTCATCTGTCCGTAGAGCCCGTAGAGGGGTGCTCCGCTGAATGCATGTCTATATCCGGAATTTTGGATTTTTGTGACTAAATTTTGAAATCAACCCCCAAAAAATGTTTATAGCCGTCTTTTTTGTTATTTAACATAAAAAATTTAAAGTAGAGAAAAAGGTTGTTGCAACGATTTCCATAAAATAAACTTTTAACGACGTTGCATTGTATATTATTAGTTACTTCTAAGGTTGTCACGATTTTATAACATGGTATGCACCGTTGTTACAAATTTGTTTATGGAAATCGAAATTTTTTTAAAGGCTAATATTTTAACCTCAAACAACTTATACGGTCACAATAATCGTATTTCTCGTTAGAACGTCAGAAATGCGTGCGATGCAAGTAACCATATTTTAATGCTCAATTTTTACTTTAAAGCCATATAATCATAATGTTGTCTACTTAGGCGGTGGCATTGCTCAATAAGTTACACGACACATTGACCTCAAATAATGACACAATCCGGTTAATTCCGTCAAAGGGTCATTTTCGATCCGTATAAGAATTTTAGTGTGTTAGATACAAATAAACATTATCTGATTACTATATTTCCCCACTTTAAAGCCGAAAGATCATCAACACCGTATGCCAAGGGGGCAACATCGTTGTATAAGAGCGATTGCCGACATCAGAAGGCACGTCTTGCGGGGATAGTGGCCCCATCACTAGTGATCACCTGATTAATGTGGATTTTGTGTGTACAAAAGTTTGCTAGGCACATGGTCCCAAACATTTTTATAGCATGCACCACAGAACTTGTACGATTTTAAGTCAATGTTTTATGTTTCAAAATTATATATTTTAGGATAGAGTTGCAATGAGTGGAGATGAGCTTAAGCTGGACACTTATTCCGTAGCTTGACGAATCTTCTCGGTGAAAACCTGAGCTTGGATCAAGGAATATACAAGCACAATACCTGAAACATATTTAGAAAACGTTGCTAGATAAGAATTTGGATCGTTATTAAAATCTTAATCCAATCATTATATGTTTTGAGCTATATTTCTAAAACTTGAACTAAAAGTTCTATCTCAAAGAGCGAAAGTTTGAATAACTAGATAAAGGTTTGATTTGTTTGAAATCCCTTTTTAGCGTTCATATCTTATAAAAAAAATTATTTAAGTCTAAATTTACGTTAGGTATATGACATGACAAAAGTTAATAAGTGAAAATATACACCATACAATATATATATATATATATATATATATATATATAT